GGCAAATGGGGTCTGTCCTTGGTCAGGCTGGGAAAGGATGGAAAAGAAGCCTTCCGGTGATCAAGAGGAACCTAAGACAAATAAGGAAGGAGGGCTTGGGAGATGTGGAAGAGTTGAACCCTCCTAGTCAGGCTGCTGGTCACCTGGCCATGTCCACAGAATGAGCGGCCTCCACCCCTGTTGCCTACACATTGTCTGTAGGCACCTCTCAGGGCAGTTAGCCTGCAGAGTGCCCCATCGCCAGCTGTTTCCATGTCCTCCCCACACAGGCTGGGATCTCTGGTGTCGGGTGGACAGCGTGTGCCAGTTCTTCAGCTGCTCCTCTCCTTACACAGGGGTCTCATTTCCATGTGGAGCAGTTCGGTAACCACGATAAGCCAGCAGAGCAGCTGAGTCTGTGGAAGTGCAGAGACCTGGCCCACTCCCTAGCGAGCACAGCGTGCTATTAGCCATTCTTTGCTGGCTGCTTCCTCCAGCGTTAGCCTTGCTTTTCATCTGGAGGTGGAGGGACCACTGGGATGAACCCCCAAAACCTGCCATTCTGAAAAGCCCCTCCCACCCCGTCCCTGTTGCTCCATTGTTCCCATGCCCAGTCTGGATTAGGTGTCTCCTCTGGGATCCCAAAATACCCCATGACATGACCACATTGCATGTTCAACATCTGTCCAACTTTCCGGCCCATCTCTGTGATCCTAGTGAGCCTGTGGAATCTGGGGTTATATTTGATGTACCTGTCATTACCCAGGACCTGGGTATAAAGTGGGGTCACAAGTGGCCCCTTGCTTCACTGTGCATTTCTGAGAGCTTGATGAGAGCCTTGTATTGGCTCTTCTGCTTCCCTAGCTGGCCTTGGACAGACGCACAAGAGCAGAGGCTTCAGGAGGCTCTGAGAAGACCCTCCATGCTCACTTCTGGACTTGGGTTTAGTATGTGAATCAGATATTATGGGAAGGCTTTGGGGAAACGGGCCGAGTAGGAGTGGGAACATGATGAATGTCAGGGATAGTCAAGGAAGGGCTGTAGTGTAGGTGGGGACACTGGACTGGTACCGGGAGAGAACACACCAGCTTACCTTATTGTAAGAAGCTCCCTGTGGCCCGTGAAGATGAAGCTGCTTCCAAGCCCAGGCCTCAGGCTCGGTATGGAATTGGTGCTTTCACAGTGGCAAACCCTGCCAGCGCCTTGGCAAGCAGGCGATTTCTGCCAGGTGGTTGGAAGAAGGAAGGAACCAGCCAGCTGTGCCAGAGTGAGCTGGCTAATCCTGGTGCCCTAGAGGCTAGCACAAGGTGTGACAGGTGGGCTGTGGACAGACGGTTGAGTCCCTGGTGACGAAGTGTTTTATATTAGTGGCAACAGGTCACACTTTGTTCGACTCCGTGAGTGTTTGCACTGGCCTGGCCAGAGACAGGTGTTTGGTAAATGTTTACTGAATGATGCTTCACTCATAGTGTAGGGCTGGGCGCATAAGTCTGTCAGGTCTTCCAGCCAGAGGCCTCCTGGTTCTCTAAGTCTGCTGAAGCTTTTGGTACTTTTGGGTGACTTTTTTATTATTGTGACGCATGCAGGGCTCATACAGCTTTGTGAGGGAAAGAGTGTGTATATGGCATATGCGCGTGCGCGCTTCTGTGCACACACATGTAGAGGCCAGAGGTCTTTGCCAGATGTCTTCCTCTGTGGCTCTCTGTCTTATTTCTTTTAGACACTGTCTCTTACTGATCCTAAAGGTAGCCGTTCCATCTTGACTCACCAGCTGGCCTGCAAACCCTCAGAATTCTCCTGTTTCTGCCTCCCAAGGCTGGGACAAGCATGCGTCACCAACTCCCAGATTGTATGAGGGTTCTGGGATCTGAACTCAGGTCTTCATGACTGTGTGCCAGTCACTCTACCCTTGGGCCATCTCTCCATACCCCATAGGCAGAATTTTTTAAATGTCTCTCTCTGCCGAGATGCCGTGCTCTGATCTCCAGACTCTGTGTGTATAAGCTGTCACTCTTGTGATTACCCTGCAGGAAAGGTATCACCTGACATTAAGGTGGGGAGGGAGGTTGTCAGTGGGCCAGGTCTAATTACAAAGGCTGTCAAAACAACACTTGTCCAGGCTAAGCACAGAGGGGCAAGTCAGAGAGACTGGGAACACAGAACACTTAGGAGTTTCTTGCCTGAACACAGAGGGCTCTCCTCAAGGATCAGAGTGTTGTCTGTCGGGGCCAAGGTGACCTCTGGCCAAGTCACCAGGGAACTGGGGATCTCAGTCTTCACAGTCATGCAGAACTGAATTCTGCCAACAATCTGACTGGTCTTAGAAGAGAATTCTTTCCGGAGAGCTCAGTGTAGCCGATGTCTGTTTTGGCCTTTAGATGGCCCGAGCTTGGAGCTCTGCCAATCCCAGCTGACCTTCTCACCAGCAGAACTGGGGAGTCACAAGTGGGCATTGGTTCAAGTCACCAAGTCTGTGGCGATTTATTACACAGCAATAGACAATTGAATTTCTGCTTCCAGATGCCAACTCAGTGATTAACTGATGGTGATTCTATCCTCCACCCTGCCCCTCTCCAGGATGGTAGCCCTGAAGAGGTGACCCAGCCATTTTAAACTACCCTTGGACTTTTAAGTGTGAGCTCTCAGCCTGTGAATGTTTTTGTATGACAGTCTGTCTCATGTAGACCAGGCTGTCCTTGAACTCGCTGAATATTACACAGTGTCCTTTAATTTTCATCGTTCTATCTCTACCCCCTGATTGTTTTGATTACAGGTGTGTGTGTGTGTGTGTGTGTGTGTGTGTGTGTGTGTGTGTGTGACCATGCCTGATTTATGTGGTAGTGGGGATCAAACTCAGGACTTTAATGAATTCTAGGCAAGCACCCTACCAACTGAGCCATATCCCCACCCATGTGTGATGGTCTGGCTAGAGCCACAGTGAATATGGGCAAGAGGAGAGTTCTCTGGGTACCAGATGGTGGGTACTGGCTTCCTCAATGGAACAGATGTATTCATTCCTTTTGGGGCATTCATAGAAGAAGCCTCATAGATTCTTGATTTAGGCAATATTCCAGATTTTTTTTAACCTTTCTTACCTGTTGCTCACCTGAGAAGTTACCCATTGCTTCTTCTCAGTTGGGCTAGACTCCAGGCTAGACTGAGGCATAAGAGGATGATGTTGGTGTAGAGATGAAACAGTGATTGACAGGCATGGGTGTGACACAGAAATTGGAGTCTCATGGGATGAGCTGAGCTGAGTCAAGATGTCCAAACGATGCCCTTAGGGGAACCTCTGTGCTCAGGGTGCATCTAACAGCCAGGACTGGCTGGCTGGCCCACACTGGCATCTGTCCTCTTTGGTGCAGGGTGTTGGCTAAGTTCCAGGTGAAGGACAGCAGGCCAGGGGAAACCTGGGGTGGGGTTTCTGGTTGAGGTTCCTGAAGCAGCCTGGTTTGTCAGCCATGGGAGCCCCAGGAAGGTACCTCCTGAGAAGGGGCCAGTTCCATCTCTCAGCTGTAAGGAGCCTTGTCTCAGGGAGGTGGAAACTCAGGTCCTTAGGGTAGACAAGTGAGAGCCAGAGAGGCCCATGGCAAACAGGAAAGGTGAACTGGGTTCTGGAAGGTTGAGCAGGCAGAAGACCTGGATAGTGCCAGCTGGAAGCTGACTGCTTCTGGGTGAGCATGGGCCCACTTGGGACGGACTGATTTCCCATGCCCAGTGTCAACAGGGATGTCGTAGTTACTTTTCTATTGCTGTGAAGAGACATCATGACCAAGACAACTTACAGAAGAAATCGGTTAATTGGGGACTTGCTTACGGCTTCAGAGGGTGAGTTCAGCTGCTGCTGCTAGCTTTATCCCAGTGCGGAGTAATTCCTTCCTGAGGATCCCAGGACTTGGAGGGATGTCAACTGAAACATTTTTGATTTTGTTAACAAAGGAAGTCATCACAAGTCAGACTTACAAGTAACCATGAACTTGCAGCATTTTAAACCAGCCTTGAGGATTTGTCTTTCGGTGCCAGAACCGGAGGTCCAGGGTCCAGACTTCACACTGGTGCTGGTCAATTCCTCTCCTAGAGTAAAGACACATGCAGATCTGCACCAGCTCCGGCTGCTGCCAGGGTGGCAAAGGTCATGCTTGAGGAAGGAGAAGCCGCCTAATGGCTGGAGAAAGCAGCTGCCTTGCTGTGTGATTTTATGTAAGGCCCCTCTGTCTCTGGGCCCTAACCAAGGAGGTTGACAGATTGATTACTCCCATCCCTTCCGGTTCCTGTGCCCAGATTTGTAACTAAAATACAATGTTGTGTCTTTGTGTCCCTGTCCATAATCTTTCTGGAGATTTCCTTTGTCAGGGCTTAGGGTTCAGCTTATTTGAAGAGAGTGTGCTGCCCACACCTTGGGGAATGCCTCTCTGACCCAGTGTGACCTCCATGTCCATGCACCGTGGTAGTGGAGCCCCTGCAGTGTAGTGTGTATCTGTCTGTCTGTCTGTTCCCTGTCGCACTGACCCAGTGTTATGTGCCGTGAGTCCCCAAAACTCCACCCACAGCAGTGAGACATGACCATAGGCACAGTGTCTGGAAGGCTGGATCGAGGAAGTCATAAGCAACCAGAAACTTGTGTGTGTGTGCAGGTGCAGGGGTGGAGGCCAGAGGTCGATGTCGGCCTCTGTTGAGCTCCACCTTAGTTTTTGAGACAGTCCCTTCACTGAACCCGAAGGTCTCTGTTTCAGCTAAATTGATTGACAGAGAGATGCCCTGCCCCCCTGGCCCCGGGGTCCATTTGTGCTGGCTCACCCATGCCCGCAGTGATATCCAGCTCTTGTGTGGATGCTGGGGCTCTGAACCCGGGTCTTCATGCTTGTGCAGCAAGTGCTTTATCACTGAGCATCTCCCTAGCCCGCCAGAAGCTTCTTAGTGGTACCCAGCACCAGCGACTGACGGCAGCGGCATTTTCTGTCTCCTGAGACTCTCCCTGTTAGCAGCTGATGTCTCCCCTGTCCCTTGTTCTTGGCTCTTAGAAAGAAGAGTTTCAAGATGATCCGGTCGCAGTCTCTGTCCCTGCAGATGCCAACACAACAAGACTGGAAGGGCCCTCCAACTGTCAGTCCGGCCGTGTCTCCTGTAACCCCTCTGGTCCCCGGAGCCACTTCCAAGCCTGGGCCAGCACCCTATGCCATGCCCGAGTATCAGCGGGTCACTATCAGTGGAGATTACTGTGCGGGGGTAAGGTCATACCCACCCTTGAAGCCTGGCCCAGTGTGTGTGTCTGGGAGGTGGTGGAAGGGGGCCCCTAGTGGAGACTCTGGGGTGTGGGCATGTCTCAGGAGCTGCCCCATCCTGGTGTGCAAGACCAAAGGCTTCAGGCTGGCATGCTGTGGCTGTGGCTGTGCTCAGTCAGTTCTGTGTGTCCCCAGTCCAGAACTCTGCCCTCTGAGAAGGGTACCAACTAGATCCGTCAACATTCCCGGTGTCCATGGAGACTACGTGATGGTATTGAATGGTATAAAATTAGCTCTTACAAGCTTAGGTCAAATCTTTAAATGTAGGCTAGAAATCCCTCAACCAGCAAGAGAGGCTTTTGATGAGAAAATGAATAAACTTTTCTATTCAATAATCCCCTTAGAGATGATTCTGTATTAATTAATGAAAGCGCTCCCTTGTTCTTCTTTAGGAGTGCATAACATTTCATTGTGTGGTTGTACCACATGTATATTGACTTCTTGGGGATGGGCATTTAGATGGGAACTAATGCAGTTCTTTTTTGGCCAGGCTGCTGCTCTGCCAGCTCCTGGCTTTCAGCCTTGGCCTCCTGGCCTGGGCTTGGTGTCCACCTCATGCATGTGGGCAGAGTAGAGGATCGAAGTGGACTGCATGCATGCTGAAGGAATAGAGGAGCTGGCACAGTTACCTCCCCTCTTTCTTCCCTCTGTGTGCACAGCTAGAGCGCCGTGAGGCTGTGAGAGGCTCGCTGACCTTGCTGAGCCTGGTACCCAGAAGGTCTGGGGCTAGCCACTAGGCCTGCGGGGCCCACAAGCTTGGCTAATGGCTGCTCCTCCCCGGGGACCCTGCACCTTCTCTGAGCTCCTTGGTTACCTCCTGAGGCCCTTGTCAGGCAGAGTCCTTTGGCTTTTCTGTGGGTGGGGACATGGCTTTGTCTTAGCATGTGTCTGCTGTCCTGTCCCTGTGGCTGCTCTGAGGCCAGCCCCCTGGGAGGTGCAGAGAGAAATGAACACATCTTGTGTGGGTATTTGAGACAGAAAGGGAGCTGCTTCCACTTTAAAAAGCAAGGAGTCATATTTGGTGAAATGAATGAGAAAAACATATGTTGACTGCTTCTCCCTGGTGACAGAGTAGGACAAGGGAGACCGGAGGGTTTGTACTCATGGTCCTTTATTTATCCACCCCAAGGGCATCTGAAGCAATTAGGAGAAATGTGAATATCAGGGTCTTGGGAGACAGGTGCACAGATATCTGTAGATTCACAACATTTCAGTCAAACCAATGATGCTACGGAGGCAGAGGAGGAAAATTCCAGGCCCAGCTTCCCTCACTCTGCTCCTCCAGCTTCCTGCACCTCGCTGTTGGTGTCCCCTCCCTCCTGTCACGCCTGTCCATCTGCATCTCATCAAGCAAACACACACTTCAGTGACATTCATCCTCACTGGGTGACTAGGGTGATGGAGGCTGGGAGGGGGACCAGAGATCTCACAGGCCTCTGAGTGTGAGGCGAGCATCCTGAGGCTTTGTGGATCAGTCAGATCGGGGTCTGAAGTTGGACTTTGTAATCTCCTGGCAGTGATGGATCCTTTCTGGGCCTAGTTTCCCCAGTTAAGAAACAAAATGAAACCTATGGAACATCTAGTGCTAAAATGTGACTAAGAGCCCCGCTGACCTGATGAGTCGGGTGGTCGCCAGATTGACTGACAGCTCGGGATTGGCAGAGCAGCAGCCTGAGAACATAGATGCTTTGCTTTTAGCATCTGGGGATTCATGGAGTTTCTCAGCAGAAAATGATGGTGGTTATCCTTACCAGGGACAGGCCCCAGGCCCTGTATGCTGGGTGCAGCCACAGGCTTCTGGTTCAGTCAGGATCCTTGAGACTAGTCTGGGGTGTGCAGGCTGAATACCCGTCTCCCTTCTAGCAGCCCTATCTCTCTTCCTGTGTGTCCTGTGTCAGGGTCTCAGAATGCAGAACCCGGCTGTACTTCCAGTCTTGATTTATTGCAAAAAGGACATAGAGCAAGTCAGCAAAGGGGAGGGACCTGCAGGGTGAGGTCTGGGGTATCAGGACAGGCTCCAGTGGGTCCCTCCCAGTGAGGCACCAACACCTAGTGTCCATCAGGGAAGCTCATTAGAGACTTGGCTTTGCTCACACCTCTGCATAGCACATCCCCAATTCCGGACTCTTGGAAGGAACTCAGGTACCCAGCATAAATCCTAGTGTTTGTGTAAACAGATCACACCCAGTGAGCCCCTCATTGGTCTGATGGGAACTGTCCTGAAACCGGGTTCACGGAGGCCAGGCTTGCACAGGACCTCTCCAAGCACAGCTGTCTCTGGCTTGTGGGCAGACCCTCTCTTGCATGCCTTCTTGCTGCAGATCACTGTAGAAGACTATGAACAGGCTGCCAAGAGTCTGGCCAAGGCCCTGATGATCAGGGAGAAGTATGCACGGCTTGCCTACCACCGTTTCCCACGGACCACAGCCCAGTACCTGGCTCATCAAGGGGAAAGTGTACCTTTGGAAGAGGGTCTCCCAGGTATGGAGTCTTGGGAGCAAGTGGGATCCTATGTGTGGGCCTGACTCAGGAGTTGGTTGGGGCTTTTTGTTGGCTGCGTATTTTTCTACCAGTGGTGTTTTTTTTTTTTTTTTTTTTTTTTAGGACTCTTGATGTGTTTGAAACAGTACAATCAAATGGCAGCACAGGGTGGGTTGGGTGGGATTAGATACAGTGCCCATGTGTCCTGGGCAGAGCAAGCAGACTATGAAGCGAAACACACTTGTATTCATATCGGGATCTTGCCAATTTCTTAGACCTTGAGCAAACTGCATCCCTAAATTTCAGTTTTGTGGTCTGAAAAATGCAATGCCAGCAAAAGCTGTCTCCCTGGGTGAGGTTGTGTGAATGTGTGTGGAGTGATTAGTACAGATCTGGCATCTAGAATGTTCCATAAATGGCAGCCACATTTATGCTGCAAATTTAGGGAAGGGGGATTAGAAAGGACACTTCCTGATGTAGTGAGGGACCCAGGAGCAGCAGAGGCTGGGAATGAAGTCACTAGAACAAGGGCATGGGGACCGTCACCCTTGAAATCCAAGGATGGGTGGGGATCAGAAGAGGAGCTGGGGATTGCATCCAGGCCAGAACCCTGGCCACCTTGGGGTAACGGGCGCTAGGTTGTCCCTGTTTCTGGCCCGGTCTGTGCTGAGTATCCGTTACTACCAGGGAGGGGCCTGGGTAAACCTCAGCCTCCCCAAGGCTATTTCCCTGTCTGTCTGAGGGACAGGACCCCAGCACTGGAGGGGCCGGGCGGGAATGACTGTCGGGTGTGTGCTTTGTATGGCAGAAGGCCCTTGTGTGGTGGGCTTGAGTGTGGTAAGGTGACACAGGCTTTGGGTCGGTGGGCTGTGGTTTCACACAGGCCTCTCCAACTCACTGCACCTTACACAACACTAGCACTATCTAGAGGTTCTTGGGCTGGCCTCCTGCTGTGCCTGATGGGCGTTAGCATCCTGCTCTGCTGTATTCTGCTTTCTCTGTAGCCATCACAGCTCAGGGTCAGCCTGTTCCAGAGTCTGAGGCAGGACACCCTGCCCTGGACCCTGAGTGCTTCTTCCAATCAGGAGCCAAAGTTCCTCCTGCCTGGCAGGCAGCCGGCCTGCAAGGTGCTGGCTGACTTGCTGTGTTTATTCCCTGGCCAGAGACAGCTGATTAGGAGCCCCAGAACTCAAAGACTAATGAGAATGCAGATGCTCTCGATAGCTGATGATTGTGTTCCCAGAAAACCAATTGGAGGCTGAAAATGTCCTAAGATGAAAAATGCATTTAATACATCCAACCTATGATAACCACACTCAGAACCATTTCTGTGCCCTACAGCTGGGCAAAATCATCAGCTACTTAGTAACGAAGTGCTGAATATCCCATGTAACTCAGTGAGTATTATGCTGGCTGACAGACACACTTCTGCACAATCCTAAAGTCAAAAGAAAAATCATTAAATCAAGCCATTGGAAGCAAGGCCCTATGGGCACACCTGCTTATACAGCATCTCCCTACCCACGCTTTTTACAGCCCTCACAGCAGCCTGCTGGGTAAGGGGTGTCTCAGGTGAAGACTCAGATCCGAGAGGCAAAGGGGTTTTCAGAGTCTCACAACCAGGAAATAGTGGAGGTGTTTTACTGCTTGGGTTGGGCTGACTCAACCCAGCTCCCTGCTGGCAAGCAACTCCATCCTGGGCACTTCCTGGGGATGTGGGGGATGGGGTGGGTAGGAGGGTGGGGTGTGTGTGTCAGGGGTGGGGGTGGATGGAGGCAAGGGTCTGGTCGCTGCTCCTTTTGCTCTTTGGGGGGACAAGGTGGCTTCTGTCTAATTCCTTGTCTGCCTTGGGCTCAGAAAAAAAATGTGAGAGGAGGGGCCAGTTATTCCCCTCAGACATTCCCAGTGTTGCCCATTCTCCCACTGGGAGAACACTCAGCCATTCTGTTCTAAAAACTCAAAATAATAAAACAAACATTCCTGGAGGCCAAGGAAGCTGAAGAAGGTGAAGTCCATTTTAATTAAGCTAAACATACAATTATGAACACATGCACACACACACATGCGCACACCACACACACACACACACACACACACACACACACACACACACACACACATACTGATGTGCCACCCTCAGGATAGGGTTGCCTAGAGACTGGACTATAGCAGCTAACAACACAAATCAGTGCAACTTCTGATACCCAAGGTGTGAAGAACAATTATTCCACGCAGTGCTGAGGGTTATACAGACAGACAAACAAACCCGGGAAGCTAACAGACCGCACAAGTGTCACTTGGCCATCGCTCATCCTGTTTTGCAGAATTCCACCCTCCCCCACTGCCCCAAGAAGACCCTTATTGCCTGGATGATGCGCCCCCCAACCTGGGCTATCTGGTCCGCATGCAGGGAGGCATTCTTTTTGTGTATGACAACCAGACGATGCTGGAACGCCAGGAGCCCCACAGCCTGCCCTATCCTGACCTGGAAACCTACATCGTGGACATGAGCCATATTCTGGCGCTCATCACCGATGGCCCCACGTAAGCCAGTTACCCCGACAACCCTTTTCATTGTGTGGGTGCTGTGGGAAGGAGCGGCAGGCTTTGATGCTTGCAAACCATCCTGGATTTTCCTTTTGGGGATGGTACAGGCTAGAGTTGTTACTGCTGGTCCCCGCTGCACACACATGTGTGGGAGCTTCTGTGTGCAGTGGCTACTTGTGTCCTTACATCTCTCCTCAGGCCAGGAAACACAGAAGAGAGCTGCCAGCCGGGGGCATGGGGGAGCAAGGAGGGAGCGATGAAGACTCTCTCTTCAGCTCTTGGGCTTCCTGTGTTTTTGAAAGTAGCATGCAGGGAGCCTGGGGCCCTTTGTGTCCCCACCCATGCTGGGGGGCTTGGCTGGAGCTGACCGAGCAGGTGGCTCTCTTCCTGGCAGGGATATGAGCTAAGCAATAGTGAAGGAGTCTGGGGAAGTGAAGGGCTGCCATAGTGCCATGTACCGCTCCTCTCAATCCTCCTGCCTTTTGGGGTTTGCTGTGAGGGGTGTAGTCTCTGAGAAAAAAAAAAGAGTAGGACTGGGGAGGGTGGCGAGCTAGCTCTTGGTCCTCACTGATCAGACGCCAGAACTAAGACCCCGGAGAGGGAGAAGGGACAGTTTCTGGGAAGCCTTCCTTGGCCAAGGGTGTGAACAGTGACTCTTGTCTGAGAAGTTGTCAAGGGGAGTCCTTCTTGGGACAAACACTGGACAGAGTGCCACTAACCTTCCTTTGCCACCCTGAGACCCTTGTGCTCATGCAGGGCTCGTCTCTGCATGTAGACGATGGCAGTGCTGTGGGGTGGCATTAAAAATGTCATTATTGCCACTTATTATATGTATATGGGTATATCTGCATATGAGGAGGCCAGAAGCAGCCAGGTCCCCTGGAGCTGGAGTTACAGGCACTTGTGGTTTGTAGACTTGGAATCGAACTCAGGTCTTCTGCCAGGACAATATGTGCTCTTAACCACTGAGCCCGCTCTAGCTCCAAGAAGCTGCTCTTTGTGGAGGCCTAGGGGACTAGATAAGAAGGCAGCTGCCTTTTGGGAATGCTGAGGAAGCAGGATGGCATGAATTGTGGTCAATTCTGTGTGGCTGGGCAGAATTGTGGGTTCTGAGCTGGGTGTGGGAGACAGCTGTAGCAGTGATGCTCACCTTGGCTGGCCGAGGAAAGCTCCTCTGCCAGTGCTTTCTCTGGGTGGGGAGCCTGGGGTGTCAGGCCAACAAAGCTTCCTGTCCCAGTGTCCCTCCCCCGCCCCTCACTGAAAATGTCCTCTTCCTGCAGGAGTCTCAGAGTTGAGGGATCTAGGGACTGACGGTTGGTCATGGGTGGATGGTTGGTGCCTCTGCATTCCAAGGTAGCCGGGCTGTACGAATAGTTTGACTGCTTTATTGATATTTCGGACCATGAATTCTATCTGTGAAGGATCCGGGTGGCTGAGGAGAGGTCAGGAAACAGAAGGAGGGCTACGCAGTCAGACACTGGCCTTGTTACATGTACTGTACTTGAGTCTGGGGTGCCACCATCTCCACAGTCACGCCCCGGGATGCTTATTCCTGTGCCAACTGTCCAAACATGTAAGACAACACAATTCTGCACGGGGGCCCAGAGTTGGGGCTTTCCGCCCCTGTGTCTTAACTGTCCCCTCACGGGCATGATGGCACATGCGTGCAGGCCAGGACTGAGGGAAGCTGGAAGCATCTCCCTTCTTCCTCCTCCACCCTATCAGAGCCTGACCCTTCCCCCCAGGGGTCACCGCTCTCTCTGGACATTGCTAACCCGCTGTTTGATGTGACTTCTTACTGTGGCCTCTCTCTCACCAACTGGCAGGAAAACCTATTGTCACCGGCGACTGAACTTTCTGGAATCCAAGTTCAGCCTTCATGAGATGTTAAACGAGATGTCAGAGTTCAAGGAATTGAAGAGTAACCCCCACAGAGACTTCTATAATGTGAGAAAGGTACGCCACGGCCAGTGTTCAAGCTGCTCACCTGGGTCTGTTTAGGGCCTGAGCTGGGTGAGCATCAGGTCTCTTGGCTGGTCAGGTTTCTTGGCCCGAGGAGCCTGGTATGATGAGATGCACATGTGCAGAAGGAAGACCGGTGAACTGGGGCTTCAGACGGCACAGTGCCACACTAGATCTGTGGTGGGATGCCTCTGCTGGTGGCTCTTTCTACGGCGTTGGAACATAGCCTGCTGACTGGTCCGAACAGTTAAGCACTGGTGTTTTTAGGGAAGCGGATGTGTTGGAGTCATCAGGGAGGAAAAGCTGGCAGGATGTCTTTGGACTAGGAGGTGGCAGGTTAAAGTGAGTCACTGAGCTGTGCCTGTCCCTGTCCCTCTTCTACCCAAGGAATGGCTGAGTGTCGCTGGCACCTTCTGCCTGCAGAGGTGGCAGCAAGGACAGGGGTGTGTGTGTGTGTGTGTGTGTGTGTGTGTGTGTGTGTGTGCGCGTGCGTGCATGCGTGCGTGTGTGTGTGTGTGTGTGTCCTGGCCTGGAGACTTTGCACTTTCTTCCAGGTAAGTAAGACCCACTGAGACTTATTGACCATGGCGGATGGAGAGCAAGAGTCACTTCCGGCT